GGCTGTGGCCGTGGCCGTGGCACTGGTGGCTGTTGCTGCTGCTCAGTGTCTCTCTCACTTTGCTCCCCCCAAAGCGGCTCGGAGCGGAGCAGGAGGGTGCTGGCACCCGACAGCCCCCGGCTGCAAATCCTCCGCACACCCCTGCAAGCCCCCGACCCCGCCAGGGCCGTCCCCGGTGCCGATGGTGCCGTGTCCAGCCCAGGGCAGCCCTTGTGTCGAGACAGAGGGGGGAAACCTGTCATCCCCCGCTCGCCTCCCGCTCCTCCCTGCATCCCCGAACTTCCACGGGCCCCGCAGATTCCAGACCATCCCCTGGGCATCGCGGTTCCTACGGGAGCAGCCGGGGCGTGGGGGGATGTCATGGGGGGCTGGGGGTGCTCCGGGGTCTCTGGCTGAGCCGAGGGTCCCAGGGAGGGTTTGGGGCAGCCCCTCTCCGGGGGATGCTCCATCGTGTGCAGCAGGGCACAAGGATCTGAGGACAGTGAGGGGTGAACAATTACCTCCCAATGAGCTAATTACGTGCAGAAACAGCACAAGGCTGATTAAAAAAAAAAAAAGAAAAAAGTTATCACAAACTAAAGAGTGTGTGGATTTACGGCACACCAGCTGTGCCGTGAAAACTGCCTGTCACCCAGAGGTAGGCAGGAGATTGCTTGTGCCTCCAAGAAAGATCTTGGCAGTTTAAAGGAGTCTTGAGAGACATCAAATAAAAGAAAATGGGGAAATAAATACAGAGGGGAAGGGAAAAGGAGAAAAGGAACATGAAGGATGGCAGGAAAACCCGAGTCTGAGGTTCCAGGTGGTTTTCAGGGTGGATTTGGGCTGGGCAGGGGCAGGACAGGCTCACGGGCAGTGATATTACAGCCCCCCCAGCTATTCCCTGTCACCCCAGGAGCAACAGGCGGCTTTCGAGCGTTCCGTCAGCAAAGGCTTCATTGCTTCAACAGGCAGCTGACCCGCAGGACAGAGCTCGGGCATCAGCAAACCGGGTGGTTCATGCAGAGTCCACCGGCATCGATGGGGGAACTACCCCCGCGTCCCTGACAAAGCCCAGTAACGCCCAGGGCAGGTGCTGGTGTGAGGGTCCTCCAGACGACCAAGAGACCCCATGGCTTTGGGTCCAGGCCCCGAAAAGAGGCCGACACGTCTGGGTCTAACGCGGCGATTGCTGGCAGGCAGCTCCCTGCCCTCCCTGAGCTGGGTGCTGGTGGGCAGGGGGCCATGGGCCTCTCACCCCCCGCAGCCAGACCCCCAGCGCAGCAGGGTCTGGCCTGAGCCCCCGGGGGTCACCAGAACCAGCCACCCGTAAAGGCTTGAGCACCCGCTGAGGCTGCAGAGAGGGCTGGACTTTATTAAACCCGAGCGCGAGAATGCCAAATACACCCACGTCCTTCCGAGCGCCCACCAGAGTCGGAAACACGGCATTTGGAGGCAAAGCTCCTGCGTTCCTTCCTGTAGACAGGATGCCGCGTTTGCAGGGAGAAGACCAAGCTGTGTGAGGCTGGGTGAGAAACGCGGTGGGCGTCCTTCGGGCAGGCGGGGCTCCCACCCCTCCGGGGGGGACGGGGCGAACCAGGGGTCCCTTCCCAGCCCGGCGGCCCCAGCTCAGGCCGACAGCACCACGAGATCCTGGTGAACAAAGGGGTTCACCTTCCCTCTCACCAGCCTCCGCGCAAGCGACGGGCGCCGCCTGTTCTCCGGCGCGGGGCTGAGGAGCCAGTGGAGGAACCTCAGGGAACACCCGAGCTCTCACCTCCATGACGTCGATGTCCGCGTTGGTGAAGTCGATGTTCAGCAGCCTGGGGAGGGGCACCCCCGCTGCCAGCACGCCTGCGGGTCACAAGCACGGCGGGAGGGGGGGTCACTGCTGAGCTCCTGCCCAGGGCTCGGTCCCCAACCCCATCCTCCCCGCGTGCAAACCCCTCCCTCCGCGCGCGCAAGGCTCTCTGGAGAGGTTTCGTGCGGTGGGACTTGGCGCTTCGGCAACACACGTTGTTGTTTGCTCTTGCCCTGCCAGGGGGCTGCGGGGCCCCTGCCCCATGGCGTGGGGGTTCACTGCCCGGCAAGACGCTGCCGCCTGCCACGAGCCTCCCCCGGCCGGTGCAGGCTGGACGTGCTGGCTCCTCTCACGCCGAGGCGAGCTACACCTCCCGGCACTGCCGTGGGGCACGCAGCCCCGCACACGCCAACGCACCCGCGGGGTAAGAGCTCCCTTACTGTTCACTGCGGGCAGGAAGGCAACGTCGAAAATCTGCCCAAGGAGCACCTTCAGGAGCGAGACCTGCAATGGGGAGAGGGGTCAAGTAGCGCCGCTGCCGGTCCCGCGCCAGCCCGGCCTCACCGCGGGCACGTGGGGACGCGCCGCTCACACCCGCTAAACCCATCCTGAGCCCCCATGCTCCAGCTCCTCACCCAGCTAATGCAGACTCCCTGTCTCACAGAAATTGGACTTTAAGCATTCTGTGGCCAATTTTTTCGTCCCAAAATAACGCCATTCCACGGGTCCTTCCCCCCGGCTGCCCGCTGGAAGCCAACCGCGCTCTGTCCGCAGGTCTCCTGCAGCAGGAGAGCCCAGGGTTCCTCCCAACTTTTGCCGTCATCCCCTGCGAGGCACCAGGACGAGCCTCCCCCAGCACATCCTGCGGGAGGTCACGGACGTGCGTGGGACGGTCTGTGGCTCACTGAGGACCCAAAACCTCTCCCTCTCAGAGAGGATTTTTTCTGAAAACTGCTCATGGATCATCCATGAAAAACAAATCCATCCCCAGAGGTGACAAGGTGCTGTTCAAAGCTACAACCGTTACACCGTAACTGGCCCTTATTTCTCCCAAGCCAGTGTCTACCAGCACTTCGCTTTCTGCAACAGTTTTTTACATGTGCTGAGGCTGTTTGTGCTCTTACATCAAAATCACCGATGGATGAAGACACCAAGGACAGACCAGTCCTGCAGGAGGAAGCAGAGGTGAGTAAAGTGCAGACTTTCCTCTGCTGACCCAGACCCGCCGATGCCCTCATCGTCACACAGCCCAAGAGGCCCCATGTCCACACCCCCCCTGGCCACCCCCCAGATGAAGACCAGTGTCCTACTTCTCCAGGCCGACTCTGATCTTCAGTTTGTTGTCCCTGACTGAAAACTGGGCCAGCAAGGAGGTGTCCTGTGGTCAAAGAGAGAGGGCAGGGCAGGGGGGGCTCCTCCAGCCCTTGCCCAGCCCTGGCCCAGCCGTGTCACGGCGGGTGCAGGTCCCATCCTGTGCCCGCGGGGAGGGGTGCAGGAGGAATTCCCACACGGGTTTCTCATACATACGATATTCAGAAGGCAGAGAGACTTCTGGGCATCATGCGAGTGAATCACCATCACCTCTGCTGTAGCCCTGAGCTGGATCGCACCTTTATTTTTCTTTAAGGTCACCACCGGTGCTTCGGGGACTGCAATTTTCAGCAGCAACTCACGTGGCTCGGGGTATGCTTTAAAAACCTGTCAACAGCCACAAATGGAAAGTTTCTGCTGGCAGGACCACAAACGCTGCCGTAACCAGGAGGCACAGAGCAGGCTGCCTGCTCCGGCAGCATTTGTGCAGCGCCGCGCCCAGGGCACAGATCTGACCCCCAGCTGCTCCAGCCCGACGGCCGGTGTCTCGGGTGGCTGGGGTGAAGCCAAGCCCCGCGGTGCCCCGAGCCCCGCATCGGCTCGGACAGGGCGGCCCCGCGCTCCTCCGTGACCCAGGAGAGCCGCAGCAGACAGACAGGGGGACAAACCGGGCTCTGGCCTGCTGCCGGTCCCAGCTTTGGACCGAGGTCAGAGCTCGTTCAATTCCGTGGGACATCCGAGATGATGTCTCTGAGGAGGGAGGGACAGGGAGACCCCCTGCCCCGGGCGCTGCTTCTCTGACCGGGTTACGTGTGGTGCAAGAGGGAGCCAGGACTCACGGCAGGAACCAGGGCCCCAAGGGTCGACGTTGTCAGCGGCGGGAGCTCAGGAAACTGTGACAAAGAGAGAAATGGTGCCTCTGTGCGTGGCGCTTCCCGGCAGAATCTGCGTTCACCAGCAACACCCGAGGCTTTTACCCCGTCGCTCCCTCGCGGTTTCGCCCCAAGATAGCAGAGACCCCGACAAACGGCGCGGAGGCACGGCGGGAGCGGGCTGGCATCGCCGAGACCCGCCAAGGCCAGAGCTAAGCCCCGCTCCCCACTCACCACGCCGTTGGGGATGTCCAGATCCAGGGCACCCTCCCTCTGCAGCGCAGACAGCGTGGAGCCGAGGAAGCTCACGGAGAGGCCGAGCTGGGAGGAGCTGGTGTCCGCCATGGCGGGCAGGGGCGGCATGGGGACCCGTGGGGTCGCGGGGACAGTCTCTGGCTCCCCCAGCGGAACGTCCACCAGGCCTCCTGCCTCTTGCCTAACGACAGCCTGGAGGTGCAGGGGAAGGAAGCGGAGGCCAAAACGTTCGCAATATTTGCCTTTATGGTCAACTTCATGCTCCTTCAGCGTGAAATCGCTGCATGCACGACCACGCCAAGGCAGGGGCCGTGACGCTTCCTTCTCCAAAGCTTGTGAAACCCAAACCCCGCTGCGCTCTCCCGTGACGGCGGCAGCCAGAGCCAGGCACCGAGTTGGCACCTCCCTGAACTTTCCACGGTGACCTCAGAGTCCACCGCTCAGGTGTAGGCAGCCCAAGGAGACCTCCCCGAGCCCCAGCAAGGTATCCCAACCCCCGTGCGTGGATGGGAGGAGAAGGTGCAGGACTTACGTTCAAGTCTACCTCGAGGAACTGGCTGGTTACCAGGGGAAGGCTGGACACGGTGTACTGGATACTGCCCAGCACACCCAGGGGCACCAGTGCTGGGGGAGAGCAGGGGAGTCAGCGATTCCCTGCCAGGCTTGGGTGCAAATTCCCACTCCCCTGCCCAGCAGCTCTCCTCCTCCCAGAAGAGCCCTGGCCCAGGGCAGCTGCTTGGCCCCATCTCCGCGTGCCCCGTGCTGAGCAGTAATGCTGCAGGAGACGTCGTTTCCCTAACGAGCCGCGTGTGCCACTGACGGAGGGGCAGCTCACAGTCCCCGTGGATGCCACCTTTATGCACCCAGGGGTCCTTCTGCCCACAATTAGACAGGGAAAAGCGAGGTGTGGGGAGGGGAGCGCATCCTGCAGCGTGCTGGGGCACTGCTCCCCTGGTGCTCCCAGCATGGGGCAGACCTGGGGTCTGCAGGGGGAAGCGGGGGCTCTGCTCTTCCCAGCTGGGGTGTCCCGGTCCTCATGCAGCCAGAGCAGAGGGGACACGAGGGGCAAGGCAGGGCAAGGCGTGGGACCCCGCAAGTACTTACAGTTCACGAGACCCAGCTGGTCACTGACGAGTCCCAGGGCGATGTTGACCACGGGGCAGAGCTGCAAGAGCCGGGGAGGGACAGTGAGTGAAGCCAGGACAAGCTCGGCTCTGCTGAGCTTCCCCCAGGGACGGGACCCCCGGGCGTGGGGGGGCAGCGCCCTGGATCGGGCCCTGGAGCCCCCCTGGGGTGGCTGGAGAGGCCCTGAGGCTTTGAGGGTGGAGAAGAGATTCGATCAGCCCAGGACTGGGTGCAGAGCCTCGCTAGAAACTCCCAGGCTCTTGGGCAGAGCTGCCCCAGGCCCGCTGGCCTTGCACTTGGAAGGAGGCAGCAGCTTCTCCCAAGCAGACGGGACGTGGCGTGTGTCCCCCACCAATCCCAGACCCCTGGGCGGGCGGGCGCACTCAGCAGCGCGGGGCTAGCGGCCGGGACACGAGCGATGCCGCGGGGAGCTGCGCCGTAGCTTTTCAGACTCATCTTTCCGGAGCAGAGAGCTTCTTTCTGACTTACCAGATTAGGGAGAAGTCTGTTCAGGACACTTGCCAATAAATTATCCACAACTGGGAGCAGGCTGTGGAAAAATAAAGGAGCGCCGTGAAAAAAAACCTGCTGCAAAGTAAATGGGTCTTGTTAAACAATTCCCTGTGAACAGCACAGACCTCCCGGAGCAAGGCAATTGCAGCAGCAAAGCGAATGCTTGGATTTTGCATGAGGTAAAGTGTAATTTGCATCCCAAAATAGCCAGTGGGAAATTTATTGCTGCCTTTTATCTACTGGCGTCTCCTTAGCCTCCCTGAATGAGCAGAAACAACCTCAGCCCAAGTGGTTTCTGTGACTCACAGCCCACCTGTTTCAGAAGACCCCGCGCGGTGCCTGTTAAAGGGACCCGTGAATGTGGCACATGGGACAGAGACGACCCTCTGGGGCTGCTGTGGGGACGATTTTACCGTGACTGCATGAGGGGCACGCAGGAACCACCAGCAGCAGCCCTTTGCTCAGCCTCGTGACGTGGCGGGCGGGTGACTGTCACCTCAGGGACGGGGCTGCCGGTGCCGCAGTCAGTCACCGATGGGGAAACGTCCTCGTGCCGCCGCCACTCCTGGCCGGGGCCGGCAGAGCCCGATGGCACAGCGGCTCACGCCCGCATCGGCGTCTACCCCCGTCACTCACCCTCTCAGGAGTCTGACTTTAATGCCACCAAGGAGGGTATCGCATCCTTCTGCCACCAGCTTGGGGTAGCCCGTGCCGTCCATGGTCAGCCTGACCCGTGACGTGACGTTCACCTCCACCGCGATGTCGAGCAAGCCCAGGAGGCTGCGCAAAGGGAAGGGAGCGACCTTCAGAGCAGTGTCCCCCCACCCCCCCGAGATACCCGTCCTGGTGGTGCCACCAGCCTAACCTACCTCTTGGCGTCGAGGGCCGCCCGGGTGTAGAGGTTGAGGTGGACGCCGACGCCAGGCAGGAGCCGCAGGGACACCCTGGGGAGCGTCAGCCCCACGATCCTCAGCCTGAGCGACAGCCAAGGGGACACGACGCATGAGGGCTCGGCGCCCAGCACCCCACCGCCCGGCTCTGCCGCTCCCACAAACCCACCGCGCGAGGGCTGGGCGAGGCAGAGGCCGTTTACCCCAGAAATGGCAGAAGACACCCAGTTCCCCCAGTTATCGTCCTGGTTTAGTTATTTTGCGGTTTTATCAGAAGCTTTGTTCTAGTCGCTGCCTTACTGCTTGTGCTTCTGCCCGGTGCCGGCTTCAGTGAGTTAAAATGGGACGGTGGCAGCCAAGGGGGGGTTTGCTGGGGGGGCAGCGCTGCCCGGCCGAGGTGGCTCCGTGCACCCTCTACGGACGGGCAAGAGCCTTTCGCTGCTGTTTAACTTCCCTCGAGCGGCTCCTGAGGCTCTTTTAGCACCAGCAACGCAAACCTGGCGGAGCTTCCAGGCAGCACCAAAACTCCAGAGCAGATCCGAGCATCCCCTGAAGCCCCCCTGCCCCCCAGACAGCGCGGAGGTTGCCCCCCCGGGAGAGCGGCGGGTGCTGTCCTTACCCGGTCAGCCCCTGGACGGTGCTGAGCAAGTCGCCTTCCCCGAGGACGCCGAGCAGGCCGCCGCCCCCCAGCAGCCCTCCGTTGCCAAGAAGGCCGCGGGGGCCACCGAGGATCCCCGCCGCGCCCAGGACACCCCCATCACCGAGCAGACCTCGCTGTCCCAGCGCTCCTCCAGCTCCCCCCGCGGGGATGCCACCCCTGGGGACGTCGCCACCAGCCGCCGGCCAGCCTCTGGGAGGGTTTCTGGGCCCAGCACCCTGCAAGCCACCACCAGCATCACCCCCTCCACCGAGCAGCCCTCCAGTCAGCCCCCCCAGCAGCCCTCCACCAGCGCCGACCAGCAAGCCACCAGTGACACCAGCAAGCAGACCACCACCAAGGAGCCCTCCCCCGAGGCCGCCCGGCGGGTCTCCCCTTCCATCCGTGCCGGGGCGTGCGCTGCCGAGCGGCACCTCTCCGAGGGCGCCTTGGAGGACCTCGCCTTGCCGGAGTGAGCCTGTAAGAGCTGGAGACATCGCCCCCCGTCAGCCCCCGGCCCCCGCCGCAGCCTGTCAGCAGGGACGGGCGGGCAGCTGCCAGCCCCTGCCGGCACCGTCACATGTTGCGTTCCTCAAGCGTGGGGTCGGGGGGCTTGTGCTCCCCGTCACCATCGTTGCCTGGCCCAGTCTCCTGCTGCCTGCTGCCAGTTTTCCCCATATGTGATGTAACAGGGAAAGAGCTTTGGGCTCCAGGGCCGGAGGCACCTTAAGGCCCGTGTGAAGCAGCGCGGGGAGTGTGTCTGCAGCCGCGCCAGCAAGACCGAAACCGGCGCGGCACAGGGTTGGGCGCTGATAAATCTTAAACGTGAGATAACTGAGGTGCCGTGCGGCTCACAGCTCCCGAGCCAGGCGGCTCCCGGGAGGAGCAATCCCCCACACCAGCAACGTCTTTCTCCATTTAGGACCCCGGCCAGGTGAAATTTTAATTCCACAAAAGAGTGACTCCGGGTCCAGTGTGGAGGGGGGGGCGCTTTGCCTCACGCTCTTCCCCTGCCATGTGCAATTCCCCTCCCTTCCCCGGCCGATGGCGCGGTGCTGGTGCCACCCCAGGGTCCCTCTCCGGGGGGGGCAGTTACTCACCGTCACCTAAAACCCCTTTGCTGAGCCTGAGGACGGCGGCGCTGGGCTGGCTGAGCGCCCGCGGCAGCAGCGCGTACAGGAGGGCGATGCCCAGGGCCGGTGCCATGGTGACCCCGGCGCGGGACCTGGGGAAGGACAACGGGAGAAGGGTGGGGACAGGCTGGGTGAGCCCGGAGGTGAGGGGCGCTCGGATAGTCCGAGTGCGGGAAAATGTTTCCGTCGGTAGAGACCACGAGCTGTGGGAGGACCAGAACACGGGTCGGGAACCGGATCTGGACACAGGTGCGGGGACGGGGGTGTCCGTGCGCACCTGCAGGACGCTGTCAGGCCACTTTCTGCACAACCCCAGCGCCTGTTGGCTTATTCCTGTTGCTGGGTACCCCGAGCCACCTGCACCTTTCCAGCCCCGGTCGCCGTCACATAAACATACCGCAGGAAATTGTTACTCAGAACCCACGGACTACACCGAGCCCCCCTCGCTAATAACGCCCCTGTAAATGGGTATGCAAATTAATGCTGCAATTATACCACCAACTAACGTTTGGAATAAAGCCTTTCTTTGTAAAATGGCACGTTTTAACCCTGTAACAATAAAAATAATGATAACAACCGTAAAAGGAGATTGCAACATAAAAATCCCTAACTTCTGTCAAATGAACACTTTTTTTTTTTTCCTTCGGAGAAGGGTTTTCATTTCACTGTAGCAACCTTCTTCTCTGTTTCTTTCAGGCTAGGCACTAAATATAATCTAGAATTACTTACCCGCATTTCTACCATTATTGGTATTATTCCCACGATTTTCCCTTGCTCGCCGGAGCACATTGTAAAGCTTGTAGGTGAAACAGTGGCTCTCGCCCCCCAGGCTTCCAACACCCTGTACCACTGCTGGGACCGTCTGGCTTTACCTTACCCTGAATTTCAAAGCCTGGCTTTGGTCCTCAGTGCTCAGCTCGGGGTCAAGGGCAGGGCGGCCACAGGCACCTCCGCTCTAACCCGTGGGAGCAGCGGGCACTTATATAGCGAAGCTGATGCAGAAAAGGTGGAAAGATGCCTAAATTGTCAAAGCTGGGCTACCAGATTGAGTGTATAAAGCAATATTTGTGGTTTTAATATATTCCAATATAAATAAAGATTTGTAAACCAGAGAAAAGCATTGAGCAACAGGTTATTGGACACCCCGTTATCGGGCAGAGCTCTTACCCGAGAGCCCAGAGCTCCAGCAAAGGAGGAGCCCGAGCCTGGGGCTGCAGCACCCGAGGGGGCCTCTGACCCCGAAGGAGCCGTGCTGGAAAATTTGTTCCAGGCAAATCCCCGCAACCCCCCGCACAGCGGCTGTCACACACAAACCGCAGCGGGGTGATTTTCCAAGCTTCCAGCAAGCACACGGGGAGGCTCCACAGAAGCACCTGGAGATTTTTATCTCCTTTAACACTCGACCTGAGAAGCAGTTCCTGAGGTTCATCCCTCTCATCCCCGCAGCCACAGACACTATTTCCACAGCCTCGGAAAAGCCCCTGCAGGGGGGGGGGACGGGGTCGCCGCTCCGCTCCGAGCACACAAGGGCCCTTTGTCCCGGTGTCCTCAACACAACGACCCCCTGAGACAAAACGCGCTGCAAACGACCTGGTGCACCTTACACAAGAGGGGGGTAAGACACCCCTGCACAAAGCAGCAGGGAGGCAATGTCAGCAAACGCTTTGCTAAACCCGCCCCGTCGAGCCCGTCCTCTGCCCCCCCGGCCCGGCACAAGCGGTGCCCAAGCACCCCCCGAGCTCTGGGGGCAGCTCCTGACGGTACCGGCTTGTCGCGGTCCGGCCCAGGCTCCGGCTGCGCTGCCCGCGGCGGCGACCAAGGGATGCGGCCACCAGAACCCAACCGAATAATTCCGAGAGAGAAATACTGAGACAGACAGAGATTTTATTGAAGGAGCAATATGAGAGCAACCCTTATGCCTAAGGAAGAGCTCAGCTTCCTGGCTGCGGACGTGAGGAGGGACCGCAGAACCCCCCAACACCCACAGCCCAGCCGCCGTGCCAGGACGGACCGGAGACGGTCACCTGTGTCCCCATGTCCCTCCCGGGCCACAGCGGCAGCGCAGGGGGTCGCTTGAGGGAAAACAGAGCTGGAAGGAGCAGAGAGGGGCCGGGCACGGCGCCTGCCTCAGCCCCTGAGCTGGGCCAGGGCCCCTCCCGAGCAGGATCCCTTCAGAGCCGTTTGGTGGAGAGAATCGTCTGCCTGCGAGAAGCGGCACAAAAAACATTCTGTTTTCTCACTCGGACTTCCACCAGCTTTTCCCTGTATCCCGGGAGTGGTTTTCCTGGGCGCCCAACACAGGCCCCTGGAAAACCCTGAGCAGCCCGTGGGCAATGGGGTGGCCGGGGGGGCTCTGGCTCGGCAGGGCCCTGCCCGGGGGGGATCGTCCCTCGCTCCCCAGACGGCCGCGCTGGGGCACATGGATCCTTACATCGGTGACGTCCACCTGGGCCTCCCTGAGGCTGGCGTTGAGGGTGTTGGGCAGAGGGACCGACACGTTCAGGGCATCTGCGAGAGCAAGCGGAAGCACCTCGTCACGGGGGGGGACGACCCCGAACGCGGGCAGAGAGGGAAAGGGGAGAGTTTGGAAGAAGAGGGGACCCAGAGCCCGGCCGTACCGTTGATGGCAGGGACATACGCAGCTTCAAGGACTCGCTTGAGCCACCCTGCGAGCGGGGAGACCTGCGGGGAAAGGAGACGTGGGTCTGAAGACGAGAGCAACAATTACGGGGATGAAATCATCCAGGTCAGGCTGATCAGTTCAGCTCTGTCCCTGCTCATCAGTCCAGCTTTGTTCCTGCTTATCAATTCAGTTCTGTCCCTGCAGGCTGCTCCGAGCCATGAAACACAAACACCGGGAAGTGTCCTTCAGCGAAACCCTTCCAGGACTGAGGGTGAGGGAACGCACAGGGACACGCTCTTCGGGTCATTTCTCCCGATTATTCCTCCCCCAACACCCCCGTGCGCTGCCAGCAAGTGAACACATACACCCAGGGCACTGGGGACCGGCAGGGCGGGCAACAACTGGCCTCTGCCAAGAGAAGAAGAAACAGAGACTGAAGAAAAATTGGCATTTTGGTTCTCCTTCCCTACACAGTGTCTCTGGCCATCAGGCCGCTCGCGCAGCGCCGCCGTCCCCAGCTGTGAGCACTTACACCGAGAAGGTTGAGTCCCGGGGGTGCCCGTGTCACGTTGATGCTACAAAAGATAAAAACAAGGTGGAGTCGGGGTGCACCAGGTGCAGCCCCCCCCCCCCCCCCCC